AAGATATATATATATATATATATATATATATATATACAGGGAACATGAAAAAATGGGGGTTGCCATACCAACTCTAACTCATTGTTCTTTTTAGTAAACATAAGCTGGTCCAAAAATTGACTCAGAGTAAGGCATTGTCAACCTGAAAAGATTGAGAAATGCTCCTCTACAAGAGCCAATAGAAGACATAGAATATCAGGGGGTCATCTAGTCCAACCCCCTGCTTAAAGCAGGACCAATCCCCAGACAATTTTTACCCCAGTTCCCTAAATGGCCCCCTCAAGGATTGAACTCACAATCCTGGGTTTCACAAGCCAATGCTCGAACTGCTGAGCTATCCCTCCTGCCCACTAGCCCTCCTTTAAGTTCCTTATGATCAAAACAGACAGATGACACAAACTGGACACAAAGCATTCTGGGTCCTAGACCTTGTGGCTCTGTGGGTGTGTGAGTGGGTGTGGGTGTGAGTGAGAGAGGAGTGGGATTCTTGTACCTTTCTCTGAAGCATTTGGTTCTGCCAGCTACGAAAATGCTACACGGGTATGAAGGTTCTGATTTCCTTTGATCATAGCCCAGTTTTCAAATTCTTTCCATCCTCTTGCTTAATTCTACTAACTATAACAGAGAAACGTTGAATTGCTCTCAGACTGGAGCAGGTTTGTTTCACAGCCTTGACGATCACCATTGTTTTTAAACTGCAGGTTCTGGACCTGATTCTGATCGGGTGTAAATCAAAAGTAAATCTACTGAGAGCAATGGAGTTACACTATTGTAAAAACTGTGTGCGATCAGAACCAGGCCCGTCATGTGAGCAATAACACACTAAAGCTAGATGTAGCCGTGCAGAGAGCCAATATACCCCAGCTTTGTGTGTGTATGTACTACTAATGAACGCACATCCCAAAGTGCTATAGTAGAGTTAGGTGATATTATAATTATTATACAGGTTTGCTTATAAAATGCGTAAATCTAAAAACCTCAATAATTCCATTTTAGAACAAAAATATTTTAATATCTCTGTGCTGCTCAAAACAGTCTTTGTTGAAAGCCCATGCTTTTAAACGGTTTGTATTTAATATCATTAATAAACAATGTTTAAAAGGCTTAAATCCCTGTTTTCGCTGTCTTGGCAGTTCAGCAAGTACGCCTTATAGTCCAAAGGAATGAAAACAACTGAACCCAGTATTGAAAGTAAAAACGAAAGCGGGTACTTTTAACAAAAGCCTCTTTAAACACGTCCACAGAGGTGGATTGGCTTGAAGTCATTGGAGCTCTGTGTGGGTACAGAGGCCCTTCGGCACGGATCCAACTGCACCATCAGGGCCTTTTACAATATCTTTTCAGACTGTACATACTTTCTGCAGTGGCATAATGATCTGGTTGGTGAAGAAGCTTTGTATCCCTACTGTGTGTGTGTTCATTAGGGGATGATTACTGAGTCTTAGAACCCTCTTCCACCGCTAATATGAATAGAATCATAGAATATCAAGGTTAGAAGGGACCTCAGGAGGTCATCTAGTCCAGCCCCCTGCTCAAAGCAGGACCAATCCCCAGACAGATTTTTGCCCCAGATCCCTAAATAGCCCCCTCAAGGATTGAGCTCACAACCCTGCGTTTAGGAGATCAATGCTCAAACCACGGAGAGATCCCTCCTTGGGGGTCTAATGATACTTTGCTCGTCCAGAGCAGCAGATCTCTGAGTGATTTACAAACATGAATAAATACTCAATATCACTGGCTGGTCGGTATTATTTACCCTACTTACAAACAGGGAAATTGACACAGAAAGACTGAGTTGCCCTAAGTCACACAGGGTGAAATTCACCGCTCGGAAGAGGACCAGCACTTAAGTTTCATCCATATGGAGTCCATGGCAGAGCTGGGGAAAGTACCCAGGAGTCCTGACTCCTAGTTTGTTGCCTTCACTAGAAGACCATCCTTCTTCCTCTGGAATTTTGCTTGTTTTATTTGTTTACACAAATAAAGAGATGCATCTGTTTCAAATCAGTTCAGCATTTTTGCTTTGTGACCAAAAGGGGAAAACATAGCCAACATCATCTACTGCTAGAGGGTGATGTTTAAGGCTGCCGAACTGTGGTTCCTCAAAATCAGCTGCAGCTTTAGGGCACTTAGAAAATATCTCTTACAAAGGGGAAAAAACTATGGCTCCGCTGTCATGAAAACAGAAAGACGAAACACTGCTGTTTTGCTTTGTAAGTAAGGCCATCTTTTCAGAAGAGCTCAGATCCCATTTAGGCACTAAAGTCAGTGACCAGATTTTCAAAAGAGTTTGATCCATTGAGAGCTGAGCCCTTTGAAACTCTGGCCAGGCAGGAAATGGAGAAATATTCACAATAAGGAGGCATGGTTGCTGGATACTGCATGGTATGTCTTGAGGAGAAATTGGAGGGCAGATGGCATAATGCCCAGGGGCAATGAGGGCATTGTAACATAGTGGATTGCATCCACCCACCCATCCTCCTGATCCTACTCTAGGGAATTTTGAGAGTGACTTTTCTGACACCTCTCGTTTTCCTGAGTTTAAATTTAACCTCATTGGTTTGTGCTCCACACTTCAACCTCCCTGGACACACCATAGCAGATGTAAAGGTAGCCATCCTGCAGCAAAAAAACGTCAGGACCAGACTTCAAAGAGAAACTGTTGAACTTCAGTTCATTTGCAAATTTGACACCATCAGCTCAGGATTAAACAGACTGTGAATAGCTAGCCAACTACAGAAGCAGTTTCTCCTCCCTTCGTGTTCACACCTCAACTGCTAGAAGAGGGCCTCATCCTCCCTGATTGAACTAACCTCGTTATCTCTAGACTGATTCTTGCCTGCATATTTATACCTGCCTCTGGAAATTTCCACTACATGCGTCTGACGAAGTGGGTATTCACCCACGAAAGCTTATGCTCCAATACGTCTGTTAGTCTATAAGGTGCCACAGGACTCTTTGTCGCTTTTTAACGATCCAGACTAACACGGCTACCCCTTTGATACTTTATCTGTCTAGGAACTTATATGTCCCACATCACTCTAGTATCTGAATGCCTATTACAATGAAGTAACTGAGTAACTGGGTTTGCAGGCTCTTTAAAGTGTAGCTTTATTCTGAACCCTGGCTGTGTAAAACCAGAACATTATTATTAGCAGAGCCGCTCCCTATGAATACTTAGAAACATATCTGCTAACTGTAGTGACCAAAACAAATCTTTACCGTTACCGACACCTGTTAGTGCTGACGAGCCAATGGGAGAATGAGTTGGATTCTTGGGCATCATCTATGGAATTGTTAACTACATTCTGATGACGGGATCTTTGTTGTTGTTGATGTGAGAATCAGAAGGGGCCCAGCTGGAGTTTGCAGGGCCAGCAGTTAGGAAACCATTTTTGTTACGTGCAAACTGAGAACGTCTGATTTGGAGTCACTGAGGCCTCAATTCAGGAAAGCACTTACGCACGTGCACACCTTTAAGCACGTATTTAAAACCCAATGAAAACAATTGGAATTAAGCACATACTTAAAGGTAAGCATGTGCTTAAGTACTTTCCTGAAGCAGGGTCTGAGACACAATAAACATAGAACTTCCAGATGCCATTTTTATCACATGCCCTTTAAGAACTTAAAGAGGCGATCTCTGTATTAACAAGAGCTAGAGGACATATGTGCACTTTCTAGTCCAAGGGCTTGTCTACATGGGATGATCGTGCGTGGCAAGACAGGATCTGACTCTACAGCACGCTAGCTTGCCATGCACTATCGTCCCATAGACAAACTCTTACCCAAC